GGGGTGCGCTCTGCCATGAGGAAGTTCAGCTTAAAGACACGTCCCAGGGGCGTTTCTGGTACCAAAAGGTGTTTCTGGTTTTCAGTTTGATCCTACCGAACGTGAGCATGCAGCTCATGTTCATATCTTTTTTCCATCACCACCGTTAACAAAAAAATCTATTAAAAAGTTTTTTCCTCTGCGGACTCTATACCCAATAAAACAAAGATTGTTGAGTAAAAGAAAAAACAGAATATCCAGCCATCATTGTTGTTGTTTATATACTTATATGAGCTGTTGGGGGGCAGAGGGAAGAATTAGGATAATTTATGGCCTACTGCGTCTTCAGCCTGTTTATACTCAGTCAGGAAAAAGACGTCTGAAATGACGCAATCACTGAGCCGCTGTTTCACGGTGTATTGAGGTATAACCCAGGCTTCAGGTGCAAGTCTTTGGTCTGTGAGAGAAAACTGGAATACCTAGAGAAATCCCAATCATGCACAGGGAGATCACCACCCAGGTGGGGATTTCATCCAGCAACCTTCTTGCTGAGAGACAACAGCTCTACCAACTGTACCACAGTGCTGCCAACTTTTATATCAGTAATGCTGATGAAGATTCTCTGTTATCCAAGTCATAATCAATCCAAAAAGAAGCTAAAAAAGCAATAACTGCACTTCTATTCTGAGTTTTAAGCTTTATAGACCTTCATTAAGGTGTGGCCACCCCTCTGGTGATTGACAGGTAATGTACTGCGGAGAAATAATAAGACGAGCAGAGCACATCTCTATGTTGGATGCAGAGACAAACGGAGGTTTAATTAATGTGGCTCTAGTAGAGAAAATGTGTTTCAGATTCATGACTTCTGAGTTATTAATGAGTGCCATAGAGCTGATTTGTTTCCTTAGGCTGGGCTTTATGGGACAAGTTGTTCTTATGTCTGCAGAGACAGATTACTGGATGGATGGATGGATGCAGCTTTATATAAGTTTTTCATCAGTGGATTTGTCGATGTATAACAAAAACTGCAAACTGAATAGTCCTTTTTAGAATAAATAAAGTTGTTTGATTTGATTAAAAACAGGGAAGGAGTCCTGCAGATGTTTCAGTTCTTCTCTGAGTCACGTCTCTGTTGTTTCAGGTGACAGACATGATGGTGGCCAACAGTCACAACCTGATAGTGACAGTGAAGCCAGCAAACCAGAGGAACAACGTTGTTCATCGAGGGAGTAAAAACTCCATGGGGAACTCTGGTTCTGTGGACTCAGCTGGATCTACTGGTTCTGTTCTGTCCCATGATTCTCCAAGCCCCGCATCTCAGAGCAACCCAATAACAGCAAGGTAGGATGTGAATACATGGACAGGAGTACATAAACATGAGTACATGGACATGAGTACATGGACAGGAATACATAAACATGAGTACATGGACAGGAGTACATAAAAATGAGTAATGGACAGGAGTACATAGACAAAAGTACATGGATCGGAGTACATTGATATGAGTACCTGGACAGGAGTACATAAACATGCTTTTTTGTTCTTAGTTATTCTTTTTTTTGGGTGTGGGGGGGTGGATTGGTGGGCCTGATGGATAGAGCTTCATCAGAGCTAAACAACCAAAGAAATCTGAAGCTTCTATGTTGAACAGTTTCTGAGTTATAAACGTTTTTGCATGTCCTGACACCCCCTCTTTGAAAGGAGCCCCCTCCTCAAATATGGGGTCTATCGTTAAACCATTGGCTGGCGCAGTGCAGGTCAGACTCTTCTACAGTCCTGCCAAATTTCATGTTGATTGGTGCAGCCGTTTTTGTGTTACAGTTGAGCAAAAATCACTGAAAAAAAAAACTAGACACCGCATAGCGGTAACATAATGACCCCCGCACACACAAATGCACCAGAACTCAGAAGTCTTTATTCCTAATAAATGTCATGCTACTAGGTGCGTCCTAAAATTGTAGTGTTGTTTTAGTGGGGGACTTTTTTTTCAGGGTGTGGGGGGGCATTGGTTGACCTGATGGATAGCCCTTCATCAGAGCTAAACAACCAACGGAAATCTGAAGCTCCTAGGTTTAATGGTTTTTGAGCTATAGCCATTTTTGTATATCCAGACACCCCTTTTTCAGATAAATTGGGGGTCCAGGGGATCATGGGGGATAGCCCCTCATCAGAGCTAAACAACCAACAAAAATCTGAAGCTCCTATGTTTAATGGTTTTTGAGCTATAGCCATTTTTGTATATCCAGATACCCCTTTTTCAGATTAATTGGGGGTCCGGGGGATGGTGGGGGATGGAGGTGGGGCACTGGTTGGTAGGCCTGATGGATAGAGCTTCATCAGAGCTAAACAACAAAAGAAATATGAAGCTCCTATGTTGAACAGTTTCTGAGTTATAAGCGATTTTGCATGCCCTGACACCTCCAATTTGAAAGGAGCCCCCTCCTCAAATATGGGGTCTATCGTAAAACCGTTGGCTGGTGAAGTGTAGGTCAGACTCATCTACAGTCCTGCCAAATTTCATGTTGATCGGTGCAGCCATTTTTGTGGTACGGTTGNTGAACAGTTTCTGAGTTATAAGCATTTTAGCATGTCCTGACACCCCCTCTTTGAAAGGAGCCCCGTCCTCAAATATGGAGTCTATCGTAAAACCGTTGGCTGGCGCAGTGTAGGTCTGACTCATCTACAGTCCTGCCAAATTTCATGTTGATTGGTGCAGCCGTTTTTGTGCTACGGTTGACCAAATATCACTGGAAAAAAAACAGTACGAAAACAATGACTCCCGCTTATGCTTGGCATGCGGGGGTCATAATAATAGTTATAATATAATCTGTTTCTCTGTCAGAAAATATTAAATTCTCACTGGAACTTTTGGGTGTTAATTGTTAGCTCTGCAGAAAAATCCTGAAGCATCTTTGGACAGCACACTGACCCCATGTTCTCCTGGAATTAGTATGTGTAAATAAATGACTGTAAAATCAAGTGCTGCAGAACAACTGCCAGCAAACTGCTCAGTGGTTAGTGCTGATGGTTAGACCTGGAGTCTTTCTGTGTGGAGTTTGCATGTTCTCCTCATGTTTGTGAGAGCACTCATGTTGAGTGCTCTTTTTTTTCCTCCCACAGACCAACATCATGTACAATAAATAGGTTGCCTTCAGGCCTTTAAATAAAGGTTTATAACTAACAGTGTTCTGTTGTTACAGCAGCAGCATCGCTGAGGGCGACAGTGAGGATGATGATGATGATGGGGACATCATTCTGGAGAACGAGTGCCTGACGGTATACAATCCCCAAACCGCCAATAAAAGGGACAGTGTCAACCTTAACGGAGAGTTGTCTCGTGGCGGGACCCACCCTTCGAACATGGGCAGACCCCTCCCACAGAGCGTGTCGCTGCCCGGCAGCATCGGAGCGTCCCTGGGTTACAGCGCCCACGCCACGTCGGGTCACAACGGAAGTTTAACCCGCACAGCCAGCAGCAGCCAAGACAGCATAAAAGAGGATGGCACTGAACTAACACTGTGACGACTGTTAACATGGAAACACTGACGGCGCCACGTCACTCGGTTACTGTGGAACATCGCCTGCAAGGTGATGTAAGCGCAACGACTACGGCGACAGTAAATGTGACAATTACTGCGACGATGTGACTTAAACACGACAACTGCACACGAGACTCAGAAAGATCACTTTAAAACCCCTGCTTTTAAATTCTGTACACACACACACACACACACACACACACACACACACAC